CAAAACAAAAATAAAACAAACAAAACAAAAACGAAGAATAACAAAAGGAAGACGAAAGAAAACGAAGAGCGAGTCAGGCAAGTCCGCAACACAAATAGTGCGTCACGAACTCGTCCCACCCGCGGCGTCGGAAGATTAGCCGTCGGTAAGTGAGATCTCTAAATAGCGAGAAGTCACTTACCGCCGTTGCCCAGGATGCACCAGGCCCCAGCCATTGTCAGCCACCGTTCCCGCCGGACGTATCCGCACCAGGACAAGTGACCGTACAATGAGCCAGGGCACTCTTGGAGGTTTTCCGACCCAGCACCCCAACCTAACCTAACCCTAACCTAACCTAACCTAACCTAACCTAACCTAACCTAACCTAACCTAACCTAACCTAACCTAACCTAGTTACCATCCGATCTCAGGACGGTGACTTGTTATAATATTTAATTAGGTTCAATAATCTGATTACGAACGGAACGGAACGGAACGGAACGGAACGGAACGGAACGGAACGGAACGGAACGGAACGGAACGGAACGGAACGGAACGGAACGGAACGGAACGGAACGGAACGGAACGGAACGGAACGGAACGGAACGGAACGGAACGGAACGGAACGGAACGGAACGGAACGGAACGGAACGGAACGGAACGGAACGGAACGGAACGGAACGGAACGGAACGGAACGGAACGGAACGGAACGGAACGGAACGGAACGTAACGGAACGTAACGGAACGTAACGTAACGTAACGGAACGTAACGGAACGTAACGTAACGTAACGTAACGTAACGTAACGTAACGTAACGTAACGGAACGGAACGTAACGTAACGTAACGTAACGTAACGTAACGTAACGTAACGTAACGTAACGTAACGTAACGTAACGTAACGTAACGTAACGTAACGTAACGTAACGTAACGTAACGTAACGTAACGTAACGTAACGTAACGTAACGTAACGTAACGTAACGTAACGTAACGTAACGTAACGTAACGTAACGTAACGTAACGTAACGTAACGTAACGTAACGTAACGTAACGTAACGTAACGTAACGTAACGTAACGTAACGTAACGTAACGTAACGTAACGTAACGTAACGTAACGTAACGTAACGTAACGTAACGTAACGTAACGTAACGTAACGTAACGTAACGTAACGTAACGTAACGTAACGTAACGTAACGTAACGTAACGTAACGTAACGTAACGTAACGTAACGTAACGTAACGGAAGTCGGCCTAAGGACCGTCGAGGCCATCCGCCCAGTGTTTAAATACTGGATGGATGAGCGGCGTAAAGGTCCACTGACCTTCCGACTGACATAGATACTGACCGGTTATGGTTGCTTCAGTCAGTACCTGTGTCAGATTGCGAGACGAGAATCGACGACAAAGTGCCACGAGTGTGGTTGTGACCGGGACACGGCGCAACACGTATTAGAAGAATGCCCCACATTCAGCGTGGAGCGCCGCGTTCTGGTCGCGGAAGTGGGGAACCACGTCTCGCTGCCGATTGTAGTTCGAAGAATGGTCAATAGCGAGAGGTCGTGGAAAGCTGTACTCACCTTCTGTGAAGGAAGCAGCCGAGTGGAAGTGTGAGAGTGCCTCCACCGCTCCCGCCATGCACCGCCGACGAGTCAGGCGAAGGAGAGGGGGCGCGCCCAACTCCGCCTCCTCCCCCCTTCCCCAGCACGGCCGGGGTATAGCCTAGAGGGAGGCACACCCCACTAAGGACCCTAGGAAGTGTGCGCACGTACCCGTGCGCCTCCTGAGACGGTAGGATGGGAAGGGCATTCCCCATCCTAAACACGAGAGGTGGCCTGCCCTACAACATCTACAGGGCAGGCCGTCGCGTCGGGCTCCGGTCGTCTTCAACTCGGGAGCCCAGGTACCCGACATATGCGCCTTGAGGTACGTCGTGAGATTTTAGTGGGTAAAAATCCCATACACCCCCTCTGCCTTACCTCCGGCAGTTGGAAGGTCTTGGAAGATTTCAATACGTTAAAAAAAAAAAAAAAAAAAAAAAAAAAAAAAAAAAAAAAAAAAAAAAAAAAAAAAAAAAAAAGGACTCAAAGTGACTGGGAGGTTAGAAGGGGGTAGAGGGGTGCGAATTGGTAAGTAACTATAGGGAGCAATTTAAATGGGAGTGGGTTAGTGAAATACCAGGTTTGGTGGAATGATGATGGGTGGGAAGGTAGATGAATGATGATGAGGTAGGGTAGATAGGTAGATAATAATGAGGGGATGGATTTTTTCGCGGGTAGCGATGGGAGGGCGTAAATGGGCATAGAGGGGGGGCGGGAAGAGTAATGGGCGGATAGGGGGGGAATAAATGGGCCGGGATGGGGGGGTATAAATGGGCCAGGAAGGGGTGGGGGGGTAACTACCGTCTGTACTAATGGTGTATAGTAGGAATGATAGATGAGGATGAAGAGGCAGGTCAGTTAGCCCGATCGTAGACCTGAAATATAGCACAATTGGTTTAACTCTTATCTTCGGGGTCGACTGCAGTGTGCTCGCCATGGTGAGGATTCATATAATGTCGTTTTTATATTCCGATCTATATAACCCTACTTTTCCCTCCTATCTTCGTGAACGTTTTGATTTTCTAGTTCCCCATGACGTGTCCTGCCGTTCGACGAAATCTCTTATCTTCAAACTCCCTTCACACTCATCTACGCGCTATAGTGGATCTTTTACCGTCCATGCTGCTAGATTGTGGAATTCTCTTCCCATATCTATCCGTGAGAGTCAATATTTTTAAGAGTAGACTTAAAGAGCATCTTCTATCTCTATGAGCATATATTTATTTATCTATATGTGTAAGTATATTATATGTATATGTGTATGTATATGTAGGTTTATGCATAGATGTAGGTATATATTTATGTATATGTATGTGTGTATTTGTACTATATAATATAATCTAATTAATTTAATTTTGGCTGTTAAAAAAAAAAAAAAAAAAAAAAAAAAAAAAAAAAAAAAAAAAAAAAAAATTATACACTGCTGTATCCGCTGATATTGATGCTCCTTTCCACTTTGGGTGTTGCTGGAAGAAAACTCTATCAGAGTTAAGCTCGCCTTTGTACTTTTGTTTACCTCTGTCATATTTTTATAACTAATGTGTACAATAAAGTATTAAATAAATAAATAAATAAATAAAAAATATATATAGGTGGTTTTAGTTTGAGGAATAAATGATGTAGTCAAATTACCACATATTATTGTATTATAGGTTAGCTAGAAATACATAGAATGCTGCGGTAAGTATGGAGAGATAGATAACAAGATGAACTCACAACAGGGCGCACTGTGAAGTAATTCACTACTAATAAGTGTTGCACTTAAGTGCGTGATGCAGCCGATGCACTCATAGTAGTCACATCTTATGAACATATTCCAAGAAAACATCGCACATTGTTTATTAATAATTATTACACAGTGACGCAGCACTCTTTACTTATTTTTATTTACTCTAAAGGAAAGAAAAAAAAAAAAAAAAAAAAAAAAAAAAAAAAAAAAAAAAAAAAAAAAGATCTTTATATACTGCGTTAGTAAAGAATGAAATGATGAGGATGAAGACAGGATAGTCGATCCACTGTGAAGAACGTTTCCAGAGAAGACTTACTTAAGAATACTTAGTAGTTAATTTTTTTTTAATATTTAATATATAATATTAATTATAATTAATACCAATTAATAATTTTCTGCACTATTTATGAAATATTTAAACATTATGCAGGAGGTAGTGCTAGACTTTCGTGTTTTCTCCACAGGATGGCAGCCTGTATATTTACAGGTTATTATGTATAAGTAATCAATTACATAATTATTTATTTGATCAAACACTATGTCACTGAGCAAATATGCCAGTCAGTAGCTACATTAGAAGTCATAAAGTTTACGTCTATAAAGCGTTATAATAATTAAGATCATGGAAATTATGCTATTAAAACATTTACAGCCTTGTCCCCTTGGTATAGCTTTCATTTTTCAGTGAACTCTAATGTAAAGTCTATGGTAGAGCGCAGAGCTTTAAGCTCGGATTTCATTTGTGTGCGTGCTATTTGACTACGTGAAAATGTGAGATGGTATCCCATGCAGTGATGGGCACTCGATATATCGATGTTATAAGATAAATATTAAAATAAATAAATAAGTGTACCCAATTTGACCCAATTGTAAAAGTAAAACTACTTTGGCATATTTCTTCGTTCCATTTCGTAATAGGCTAAATATAATAACAGTAAAAAAAAAAAAAAAAAAAGAAAAATGTATGTAACAGATTTATAGAATTCTGTACTGTAAGTGTTAAGTTTTATGGAATACTAGTAACCTTTGCAATATTTTATAAACAAAATTAAATAAAAGTAATAAATTTAAAACAATCCCAAACTCTCCAGGAGGGGGCAAGGGATTGTTGGTAATGTGAACTACCATTCCCAATGCTGGCAGTATACCTTGTTAGGTCGACCTCCAAGTGGTCCCCCCTGGAAACTATCGTACTGAATTCTAGGTGCATTTATCATGATGGGCTCACTGGTGCCCCGTCAGTGTGTATCCCGTTAGCGCACACGAGGTTACCATTTCATTATCATGCACTAAAAAAAAAAAAAAAAAAAAAAAAAAAAAAAAAAAAAAAAAAAAAAAAAAAAAAAAAAAACTTCAGGAAGAACTTTAAAACAGTATTTTAGTAGTTCAAATTACAATGAAATTTATAAAACAGTATGCACAAGAAAGAATTAATTCAATCATTCATGCAAACTCACGACGATGATAATAATTTTATAAGATATGTAATGTTTTTTAACAGGTTTAAATTTTTTTTTATGATAGTTAAAATATAAAAAAAAAAAAAAAAAAAAAAAAAAAAAAAAAAAAAACCGTGTGTCCAAGTGATGGAAAATGTAGCGATAACATACACACGTATTTCCGTTCACGCGTCCAATAAACCGATATATTGATATTATTTAATGTCGATAGTTCCATTATAATCTGTAATACACCCAACGCACAACGCATGGACTGGTACCAGACCGGTACTTAGTAGAGTTCGCGTTGTGCTACAAACGAGACGTCCGTATCAAGCCGCTCCGTGCCAGTGTGCGGTGCGTGTTTTTACGAAACTGAACTTTGAAAATCGAATGCGTTCCGTTTTACACCTACTACATGTGTTTTTAGTATTGTGTTTATAAACGAACAAAGGGTTTTGTTTTATTCCTCAAGTTTGAATCTGTGTTAAGGTGATAACAGTGAGAAAAATCGAAAAGAAAAAGTAATTGATGTGTACTCACGTTTTGCTGTGCATTTTGATTTTGGTTTCGGCCGCGGCAAGGAGATGGTTATTTTTGGAATGAAAATTTTGCTTATAATTTTTTCTTTCTTTATGTAATTTCCTTATCTATATTTATTTTAAGTTTATGTGAGAGTTACTTTATAACACTTATAAATAACTACAGATTTTAAAGGGTTTATTTTTAAGACGGCCGGTGTTGCTACAATATATGTAGCTTTAATGGGCGTATAATTAGTGTGGAGCGGGCAAATTTTATTCAAAAAAATAAAAAAAAAAATGACGACCGCTTACACCGAGCAGTTGGAGACCCTGTATAAATGTAACTACGTATCTAACTCACGTATGTAACTATGTATTAAATAGGTAATATCGTAGGCTATAGTAGCATCTAAATTATTATTATTTTTCATTAAAAATGTAATTTAAGTTGGACAAAAATATTATAGGACTAACTTAACAATACGGTTTTTCGGTTAAAATAATAATCAAAATCGATTCCCACTAATTTGACCTAACAGTCGCGTAGGTGATATACACAAAAAAAAAATGACATTGTGACATTGTAGTTTGTTTGCAGTCCACCACTGTAAAGACATGTGTAACTGTATGTGTATTTACCTGCTGCTTCCATGTAATTATACGTACATACATAGCATAGCAAATCTATATTAACAAAAAAAAGAGGTCTTTGTGGTCTCTTTTCATTGGTAAGCTCTCCACTTGAAAATAGTTGGACCAATTTGGTAAATTTTCACATAACAATTCGATTAAAGTTTTTAGAAGAAAAAGATTGGAGACGTTGCCCGGTACTTAGAAAAATACTTATAACTTTTGTTGATGTCATACTCTTGAACTTGAACGGGCATCTTACTAATGTAACAGAATTGCAACTAGACGATGTCTGCACATGGGATACATTTAAGAAAAAAAAACACAAAAAAAAATAAAAAAAAAAATAAATAATTGCGAGGCAACTTTGTAAGATTAATAGATGCCAAACAAGACAATAACTTATAAAAATTTCGTTTGTCTATATGGTTGTGCCGGCATCGCGTATAAACTACTGCATCAAACTAGATGCGATCTCACGGTTGTGTTCTTGAAGGTATAACTTAAAATCTGTCGTATGTTTTATTTCGATAGTGGTTTATTTAATTAGTTTTGATACTCGTATTTCTGAAACTACGCGTACGAAGCCAGCAAGCAAAAAGTTTATACATTATACATATACATTGTCAAATCGAATTGTAGAAAGGAGGTCGTACGTATATGCTGGTGCAGTGTGGAGAGAGTGCTTCCGAGATACGGGTATTTTATTGGTCGATCTCAATGGCAACAAAGTAAGACGTTCAAGCGACCGCAACAGTTCGCTCCTCGGAGCGAGGAGGTCATTGCGCTCTACGACAGACTGAAACATGTCAAAGGTGTATGTTACGTATTTTCATTGTATTTTTTTTATTAATGATAATGAATGGTAGCCCCGCCCGCGCTGTCGGTATACGCTGGCGGGGCACCAGTGACAGGTGATAAGTGAGCATGGAAACATGTCGGTTGACCCTTCATATCGTGACAAATTCACCAGGAATTGACCACAATGGTTCCTAGAGAGGGCCGCATGGAGGATGATCTGTACTGATAATCCCTCCCTCTCCTTTTTTTCTTTTGTTTCATCTACGATGTTCATAAAACATTCAGCAACAGTAACAATGAGTTTCTGTTTGTTCTCCCTAGCATATTAACGGCTTAACCGACCACTATACATAAGTTATATATGACACAAGTTACTTTTATCCTTGTCAATGAACATATTTCGGTCACGAGGACGATGTCGCAGGTGAAAGATAGTATGGAAATATAGATGAAATGTTTGCCGGATTAGTTTAGCTAATTGTATTTTTTTATACGATTTAGAAAGGCAAAGTGGTAACCGTCGCCTATAGACATGAGCAGTAGTACCATGGACATAACAGCGTATACTGTTTCGCCCATGATACTCCCTATGCGTTACCATTCCTGAGGACTCAGGTGTTATTACTCTGTACCCAGTAAATTCACGCCATATCTCACCCTTCAAACCGAAACACAGCCATGCAAACACAACTGCTTCACGGTAGAAACACGAATGGGATAGAGGTACCCAAGCAATCGACTTTTGTACAGTCTCCCTCTGGTAAGAAAAATATTAATATTATTTCTATTGAAACAAGTATATTGTAATGAATCTTTTTAAAATTTGAACTAAACAACTTTGCCGAGTCGCAGAGTATCTAATATAAAGAATAATAATGGCTCAGTAATAGTTCCAGGCACATAGGACCGCCACGGTTCACGCTTCCTATTGTACATCCTGTTCATTGCGTATTCTACGCAGGAAATAATCTTTCGAAATCGTCGGAATAAAAAAAAAAGAAAAAAAAATTACGTGATCGAAGAATTGAAATATGAATATAATATTATCTATATCCAATAACATATATATATCATAGATATTATGATAATCTATTCGAATAGACTTGTTTACTATTAGTATTGAACTTCAAACTGTGTGATGTACCCGGTGTAATCTATCTAAATAACCGGATCTGACGAGAATGTACTTGTTATATTTTGCCCCACTTCTAATACTATTTCTAATTAAATGCGATTTTACTATAATCTAGTAAAATGTGTCTCTATCCATTAGTAACGCGTGTTCGCTTTTAACAGTACAATACAAAGTCCCTGACCGCGTCTGTTTCTCCGCTCACTCGTAAACCGCACAACGCATTTTGACATCTTTCAATGTAATTTAGAAATTGAAAAGTTTATTTACCAAGCGTCTTTGTACAAAAGTAATTTGCATGGGTACCTTTGTCCCACTCGTATTTCTGCCGTGAAGTAGTTGTATTTTTTTTTAATAGGTGATAATAAAATGGTTACCTCGCCTGTGCTATCGGTGAACACTGGCGGGGCACCAGTGAGGGAGGATAAGTGAGGATGAAAAGGCAGGTTAGCCCATCGTGATAAATACACCTGGAATTTAGCACAATGGTTTCCAGGGGGGACCACGTGGAGGTCGATCTGATATAATGTTAGCAATGGGACCGTTTTTTTTAATGAGTGATAATGGAATGGTGATAAAGGATGGCTTATGTTCAGCAGTAACAAATTTATATATAATTTTATAATTCAAGTAGGTACAAAATTCTTGTACTAAATATCCTGCCACACAAGTAAAACTAAGGCAGTACAGTGGTACCTCGACATACGAGTTTAATTCGTTCCGTAACCTTGCTCGTATGTCAAATTGCTAAATAGCTCGTATCTCAAAGCAATTTTCTTCATTGATATTAATTGAAATAAAAAAAAAAAAAAAAAAAAAAAAAAAAAATATTTTTATTTATTAAGTGTTAGTCAGAGGTGAGAGAAACACCAACGTCCACCCCCCATGTTGGGGTCGTGTGCAGCGGTGTAGTGTGCGATTCCTCGCATCTCAAATCTTGCTCTCAACTCGAAGCAAGATATCGCTCGCTCGGCGGCTCGTGTCTCAAAACACTCGTATATTAGGGCACTCATATATCGAGGTACCACTGTATAAGCTGTACGGTATATAAGCGCTCGGTACAAATGAAATAGGATTTAGTTATGATCGGAGCGGTGGAGGCAGGAGGGCAAGAGGCAGGAGGGCAGGAGAGGCGGCCGGCACACAGATGTTATTATGTTGCAACAGTAGTATCGCGTTACAGCAACACTTCCCAACAGTGCGGCTTTAGTCCTCGATCCCATTAGCATGATTAAGCGTTTCCTTTCATTCATTATCATTCAAATGCAGCCCCACCGGCGCCGCGGCGTGACGCGCAGCTCGCCATCCCACCTCAATACGTTCACACCTTTACTTTTTACGCTGCGCTTTTTTGCGCCCTAATGTTTGCTAAATGGCTATTGTATTAAATTTCAAGGTCGGTATATCCCACGGTGCGGTGCGGTGCGGTGCGGTGCGGTGCGCGGGACTCTCATGATAGGGGTGCCACTTTTATTACCTGACAATTTATGATGCGTCTGCGACTAAATAGGATAATCCCAATTATATTTTATTTATCAACGTATCTTTCTTATTAACGGCGACGAAGTGATAATAGTTTTTAATTTATAGTTTCAAATAAATTAAAATTTGATAATATAACGGTTTCATTATTCTGATAGTATAATAAAAGAAAGAATATATATATATATATATATATATATATATATATATATATATATATATATAGTATCCTATGTTTTTCTCCATGATACTACTTACTACTGTGGTTGTGTCGAGCTCGATAACGCATCAATCAAACACGTGTTCACATTTATAGCTTTTTGCGTTAGTAAATACACAGATGTCGCCTACGGAACATAATAGATCCGATTTATCAGTTATCAAAATGTAGGTGGATATTCAAAATACAGTCAAAATAAGCGCGTCGCCAAGACTCCGCAGCATGCAACAGAGATCGGCTGTTATTGTTGTCCGTTGTTGACACAGTTGCCGGCCGGCCGCCAACTTGCACGGCGTCCGAATTTGCTAGAACTATTTGCTGTAATTTTTTTTTAATGGGTGATATTGAAATGGTTGCTCCGTCTGCGCTATCGGTGCACGATGGCAGGGCACCAGTGAGGGATGATAGGTGAGAAAGAAACAGCAGGTCAGTTAGCCAATCGTGACGAATTCCACTAGAATTAATCACGATAGTTTCCAGGGGAAACCGCGTGGAGGTCGACCTGATAAGGCGTGTATAGATGGCGTGTATGATATAGAAAACATTTATAAGGCAGTGTTTACTACTATTACACTTATGTGTGTTTATCTAATGTAAAATATTTACAGTATTTTGTTTTCTAAAATACATAGTTTATTAGTATAGAAGAATAAAATATCAGAAAAATGTTTTGTACAATCGAACAGGCAGATTTTGTTACGTAGAAAATAATTTACTTTTCGTGACAGAATTTAT